CGCCGCCGCCGCCGCCGCCGCCGCCATCCTTGCCACCCCCGCCGACGAGTAACTTCTCTTTCTCTCTATCTCTCTCTTTCCATCTCTTCCTCTTTCTCTCTCCGTCAGTAGTCCCTTCGTCCTCGGATTCACCGGATGCGCTGCCACCGGATACCTCGCGAGTACATTTTCGCGCACGCCGCGGAGATAAAAGTACCTGTCAGGATGAGCTACGGAGATCCCATCCGTGTACCGCTATGCTGAGAGCTTGTCCGCGAGCATTCACCAGACGACTTCATTGTTCACCATACTTTTCGGAGTTCCGCCTTTCCGTGCGGGCGATATCGGCCCTGCAGTCTGCAGCGAATTCTTTTTGTTTCAAGGATAACGAACTACGCAGCAGCGCTCCTCGTTCGCATGAAAGCTGGTTTATGGATCGTTTAAGGTTTTTTTTTATGGCGCGACTGAGAGCTCTTTATGTTCATTTCAATATTTGTTTTTTACTGGGTAAAAATCAAAATGAAAAATGCTGAAGAAGGTAATTATGAATCTTGGTATTTAATGGAGTATAAAAAATGTGTCAAGAATATGTAAAAAAGAATTTAAAAGATGAAACGTTTTAAGACCTAGTAATATCTTTTATAGCAATGCTTCAGTAGTCATATGAAAAAGACACTGTCTCGGATAGTCAGAAGATTTCAAGATTATATTCTGAATGAGGTAATATTTTTTGTAATAAATTCTTTACAAGGTTTTAAAATGCTAGTAGCATCATTATCAAACAGATGATCAATTTAATTTTTTGTGATATTATTACTTTATCTTCAATTTATGATTATATTCCAAATTCAACGATAAGCAGCGTACAGTTTATACTGAAAGATGTTTGATAAATTTAGATACATATAAAAATACTATTAAATACCAAGATTTAACTTTCTCCGTATTGACCCTTTCCTTACTTATTTCATCTTTTAAATATTCTTGTACTTCTTACTTGTGTATCTATCTACAAGAGAATTTCTTGAAGTTTATGATGCGTATCTTAAGGAGAAGTTTTCAACTGTTTCTGTCTTACCTCTGTAAAAATATCTTCCTTCTGCGCACGACGCGACGCGACGCGACGCCCCGCGTTAAGTATAGACGCTCGAGAGATCATCCGGCATCTGTACTGCCGGAGATCAGCGGAAATGAGGCGTCGCGGTTTCGCCGACGACATAAATCCCATCGTCACTGGTTCGAGCCGAAGAAACGCTCGATTTTACGGCTCCGTCGAATTCAATGGAACAAGAGTTACGACGTACCGAATGCTTCGCAAGAGGGAACGATATCATAGCAGCGCACAAGGGGAAATGAATCAGGGGCGACCAGCCCGTTGGCCAAATGACCAAATATGATCGCTCGAAGTGGAAGCTCTTTACTGTTTTTCTTCCCCTCGGTTATGCATTAGTTTCCATTCGTGTCAGTTTCGTATAAACGCGGAAAGAAGAATATTTTAGTTACACCGATGAAAATTTTCCGAAATTTGAAGATAACTATTTTCTTTATGAGATAATTATTTTTATTTATTTTTTTATCAGATTTAAAAGTACGTTTCACAACGAGAAAATTTTGTTTTTATAAATTAAAAAATGTATTTGTTGCCTGAAAAATTTTTTTTAGAAATAAGTATAAGTATTCTCTTTCAAGTTTTGTAATGCACCTTCAGACAAAAGAATACAGAGAAGAAAGACGTCTACATAAACATACAAATCGTTCATATGCGAAGAATACAAATGCGATGGAGAGGAGAGACGAGAGATGATGCCGGTGGCATGCCACTCCCGAGAAAAGTGCTAGTAAAGTCAAAGGGACAACGTCACATCCTTTCGGGTGGGGTATTTCTCTCTAGCTTCCCCTATGGTGACTTATGCAGACCCCGTCATCGTACGCACAAACAATAGCTTTTCGCGAACGACTGCGTGAGTCGTGAAAAAGTGAGACAGCCGTGCGAAAGAACTCTTTGTCTTTAGGGTACATTGGGGGTACTTTCGAGGGGACCAGTCCGAAGGAGAAAAGTCCACGCTTCGCCAGCCATTCTTCCTTCACTTACTAAGAACGAACGCGGGCCTTTTGTTTTACCTTCAAGGAAAAAATATTACTTGGAGAGAAACTTTAACTATAGAAATTACGATCTGTCATTTGACTGCGCTATTTTTATCCTCGTTAAAAACATTACAAGACTTTCCAATGTTAGAGAAAAATAATATTTTTGTAAACATTTCTCCTATATATAACATATAATTTCTCCCTCTCTCTTTCGCTGTGAAATTTAATTTTAAATCATTTGTTATTAAACACTATCTGGAATTGCATTTTCCATTATTTCAAAGCAAGAACTCTGAGCGAGCGCTAACAATAAGATGCGGCGCCATACAACGACACGCGTCAAACGCGCACAGTCTTTCGCTGTTCCATTCTCTCACCTAGTTGTAAACCAACAAAGCTCTGAGCAACACAATAGCGCCGCCTCACACCAAGGCACTTACATGGCAGACTAGAACAAAGTAGCGTGACACTTCCAGTAACAGAAGCGTCATCGGACAGAGATACGTCGGAATGTCGGCGTGCTGGCGCACTGTCTATCTGTCCTCGGCAGACAATACGAGATCCGAGGACAGACGTGGCCGAACCGCGCCCCTTTCATGTACCGCTGATTGATACCCTTGGTCCTGTCCAACGTGGGGGATGCGACGGTAATGTCGCCCTCGTTGCCAGTCTCGCGTACGGTCACATTATCAACGCCAGGTCCTAGGTGTACCGATTAACCGACCGTCCGATGCTCGACATTGCCGAAACTGTCGAATCGCGCGACTGCCGTTTTCACGTGTATGCTGAAATAGACGTTCGCAAATAGGTGCAACGTCTCGCAAAAGCAAAGAAAGAGACCTTCTAATCCGAGTCACGAAATAACGTCAAGGTCGGTGTAATGCTATCTTTCAATAAAAATGTACGACTGTGATAGTATATATTGCATCTTTTAGTTTACTGAAAAATGGAGACGTTAATCAATTTTGGGGATGTTATTTCGCGAGGGCAAAGAGAGACGTGTTATTATCATAGATATTACATGAATCGCATTTTGTCATATCGTATGTTATCGAATCAACATAGCGAATTATATTCTATTTTATTAATATAGAAAAATTATTTTAACTATCAAATTTTAATAGACGTGCGTACTTTGAGAAAAGTGACTATAATTATATCATAAAATAATTGAAGGAATGGATAGAATAAAGATCTAACTACAAAATAATTACATAAAAAATGTACAGTTGACACCGAAAGTGATTATAAATGATTATATGGAAATTGGAAATCATTTCTATGCATAGTCTCTTTACAATGTCCTTTATCTTGGCACATTTTCTTAACGTATAACGATTTTTCCGAAAATATGGAATCTTGAAAGGCCACTTTTTTTCGTACACGATATAACGTTCGCGATACGGCACGTGTATCTTTATTTTATGCCCGTAACTGCACATCAACTTGACCAGGACACATTGAAGTGTGGTAGCACTATTTCCGCCTGTCGTCGGGCGGGCGACGATCGGTATTGCCGCGCTTCCGGCTTGAACTTGTGATAAATGTCATTCCCTTCGCATCGAACCAACGCGAGCGGCAACATTTCAAAGGGCCTTTCCCGGTGGCGGCAAAAGGGCGGACCCGCACGGATACGCCGTTGCGGAGTTATCCGTCGCATCCGTCGCTTCTTGTTAAAGTGACATTCGCGAGAGACGATCAAAGGCGACATTCCTCGCAGGCAAGAATCTGCGGAATTGCTTTCCGGACGCAAGCCGGCAAGCCGTGCGTGACGATTCGGTGAGGAAATTAGCGGGTCGTTGCCTACGCGGCTCCTTGTCATCGGCGTCGCGTCGCCGTCGCCGTCGTGCCGCGGGCATCGCCTGAATTCGCGTGAGTGCCGTTTTAATCATGCACAAAGCACCGTTTATAACGCGAATTATACCGCGGAAAGATTTATCGATCTATGTACACGTTAGCAATGTTAGCATGACGCGGATAATACAAGCAGCTCTGTTATGTCTTTATTTGCTCGCGAATCTAAGAATTTACGCGATGTTTCATACAACACTACAGATTCCTATCATGATGTGCAAATTAGCTATTTATACACGTATCTCACACATATCTCATTTTCTTTAATGTAAATATTATGGCATAATATTATTTGATGTAATATACAATTTTATTTTCTAATTATTTCTATACATCTCATTGAATTCTGATTTAAAAAATTTTGGCAATTACTTTCAATAAAGATTTTGGTATTCTAGTATAAAGTTATATTGTCACTGAAATCTGTATAAAAGAAAAGTCGAATTTTTTCCTAAAATATAATAAATATATAATAAAAAAAAACTTAACAAAATTATTAATACTAGAAATTAAAAAACGCCTATTACGGTCGAAACTGGATCTTCGTTGCTTAAATAATTCAATCTTGAATTACTAATATATACTAACAGTTTATTAACAGTTTTAATATATTAACATCTTTATAATATATGATGCTTGATGATAGCATCAAATTATTAATTGCTTGTCAATTTAATTCGCGATTGCTAGAGTAATTTTAATTGCGTTTATTTAGTCCGGAAAAATAATTCGGCGCGCAGTTTGAAAAAGACTACAATATGGTATATATGCAAGTACATATATAGTATATATTATCAAGATTGAATTATTTAAGCAACGAAGATCCAGCTTCGACCGTAATAGTCATTTTTAAATTTCTAGTATTGATTGTGTTTCTCCATATACGGTCTAAAATAAAGATATTGTTTAACAAAATTATTTCTGTCGAATTATATTATTGCGTTATATTATTTGGATTGATTGTTTAATGTATAATTTTATATAATATTGTATGAGATTGTAATAGTAAATTCTAAACACATATACGATACTTTTACCATTTTGATTTCAATATAACTTTTGACATATTGTAATTTCAATTAATCACAAAAGGATTTATCATATCGTAAAAAATTGTAGATTAACGATCAAATCAAATAACCACGAATATTGATGTCTTTTTACGTAGCTTTCATAACTTGCGATATGTACTGCCGAAGATAAATTATTCTGTTTACATCTACTATTTCTCCGTTATTCGCAATTTTCCCAATATCGGCGTAAGCGTTTTCAGTTATGTAAACTTCAGGTAACACGTAATGGTTATTCAACTGCTCCAATAATTTGATGAATGCCAACGCTGTAATCTGTGATTAAAATATAATTGTGAGACATATATGTATATCTTTATGCGTAATACATGACATATGATTTTATATTCTATGATATCAAATATAAAATAGAGTAATTTTTTTATGCATGTATTTGTGCATATATATTCATTTTCTTCTTGAAATAAATGCAACATGTATTGTTTGAGAGGTATTTTTTTCATTTCGGTCATACTTTTATGCAAATTTCAATTTCTTTGTAAAAATTAATTATTTCAAAGAAATTAACAGAAAATGATTATAATCTTGACAAGTAGCATTTCATTATTTGTAAAATAAATTATCAGTCGTGAAAATATCTTTAGAAAATATTTTTTAAAATTTTTATATTCTACTTTTTATAAGTTTAAAATAATAATCGCTTTTGCTGCAAAAAATTGATTAGATAAGCTAGTCAATGTACCATCCCAAACTTGTTTTTAAACCATAAAAATGCTTTATGAATACGTTTCACAATTCATGTATAAAATAGAGTAATTCCAATTTTTCCTACCGCCGATTACGAAAAAATGCATTTTTAATAAAAATGTTTGAACAAACTGCGAGAAAAATTTCAAAGAATACAGCTTGTAGAATAAAATACTATTATACGTTAGTGATGCATGCCATTTTGTAACTGGTTAAAATTTTCATTATACACGTTACACACTTTCGCGTACACTGGTACACTAATAGCGCATGATAACCGCAATGATAATCTGTAATGCCAAATTGATTAATTGTCGCTGTACGCATATTGCGGTCAGCATATGCCATCAAATTCACCTCGTTTATGGTAACCCAACATTTCACCTAAAAGCAGCATTAGAATAAGAGTATAAATATATTTCTCTTCAAAAGTTGTAGAATTTTATAATTATAAAATTATATACTTATACAATTTTAGAAAATGTCATCTTTTTCTTTTCTCTCTCTCTCTCTTTTTTCTTTCTCGAGCTTGTAAACGAAATTATACACTTGTAAGTATTAATTTTTTAAAACAATCAAATTTTCGTTTTTTTTATCTATGTTTCGTATTCGAAGGATTTAAATATTACTTCAAATTCTTAACATAATTTTGAAACTGTTCTGCTAGTATAAAATTGGTACATTTATCCAAAAGTTATAAATTGAGCGGTAAATCCCAGTCAAACGAGGTAATTGTATGAGTGTCACATGATTCGTTATAATTTCATTAATAACGTTGTTATAGTGTCGTATAGCATCTTCGTTAACGAAGTTTCTGAAGCCGCGCAACAAAATTCTTACCCATGACAAGGACATCTTAAACATTTTAGTCTGCAAATGAGCAAACTTCTTAGACGACACCACACGAAGAAGAGTATCGTTATATTACAATATTCTCGCATCAACAGTATACTCGCATCAATGCTTTTTGAAAGCAGAATATTCTTCTTATAATATTGGAGCCAAAATTTATATTAATAATTTTGTAAATTATTATTCAGGATATATATGTACATATAATATATATTTTTTGTTTATCACACAATGCAATTTCTTGTATAAGAAAAACGTATTTATCTTATTTTTTCAGTAAATTATGCGTTTTACGATAAGACAAACAATAAAGACTGACAGATGGTACTTAAAAGTACAAAAAAATGTATTTTATAAAATGCAATTTAGAAAAATAGATCATACATTTATAGATAATTAAATATTCCTGAATTCTACTTAGAAATAATATATTTTTATTTATTTTAATGCTGATTTCTAATATACAAAAACAACATGTAGTACAATTAAACGTTGTAAAAGATATATAAGTACGAGTACATACAAATTTCTACTTAATAAATAGATATATAATGAAGTTTATAAAAAACAAATATTCCGTTTAAAGATAATTTATGTATATGTATATACTCTTAGAACATAAAGATTATAATTTATATATATATATATATAT